CCGAACAGGTGGGTAACTCAAGACTTCTCTTTACATGGAAGCAGTCCTTGGACCTTCGATTTTCGGCCTCCGTGGCTGGACAAGAAAGTGTGTGAAACTCTTCAGATCCGGTGCCGCTAATGGTCAGGTGTGGTGAGGTACCGTCCATGACGTCACTGAGGTCGACTAGTTCAGTCATGATCACAGCCATATCGAGTACAAGTACACAAAAAATCGAAATAGACCTACCAACAACGGCAGAAGGACTTTTCGCGTAAGGGCAATCCTTATCCGAAGTAACGGCCAGTCACACCGATTTGACTATAATACGCGACACCTGGCTTGCTGTCTCAGTATGTTTTAAAAGGTGGGCACAAAGCTTATAAACCTTTGGAAAAATTCCACAGAGGGCAAAAGGCCTATAGATAGATAATGGGTACTCAGGGATCAACAGGGAACCACGCTGTCCATCTAGCCAGAGGCGGCTGTGTGTAGGTAATCGCGCAGGACCCCCCAAGTTCTGCAACAATTTTCGAACTCGCATTCACCCGTAGACTCCTTCCTGAGCATCCTTGACTACCTTCTCATCAGATAATAAATCTGATGTTAGTGCGGCGAAATGGTGCCGATTCCCAAGTTGCCGCTTATTCGCTGAGACCCGGCCACACATTAAAATTTGATGAGGCCGAAATTCTCACAAGAGGAGAAAATCGTGTGAGCAGAGAATTACTTGAGTCATGGTTCACGGCCCCCAAGCCATAAACAAATGCAACGATTTGCCCAATCCATATTCGGTGCTGAAGCTCAATTTGGCCAAAGCAATCTGCCAGTTGGAAAACGCACAGGCCACCACGTCGTCTTACGCCAACACCGGAGAGACAGATGGCCGAGTAATCATCATGCCCGAGTCCACCACGCGTAATGAAAGTTCAGCAAGTCAGGGCCCGCATGCCGGTCAACAAGCTATCAACGCACAAGAGGGCAATAATTGCTAATTGTTGTTGTGCTACTTGCCGAAGCCAACAATCAGGAGGTACACATTTTCATTTGCCTCTAGGTCATAATTTTTATTCCTCGAAAACCTAAACATGCGATACATCACATTTTTCTCATGACAGGACCCTAATCCTGAAATGCCATCACCATAAGGCCTGCAACAGGTTGCTAGGCCCGGTTCACAACAACGAAATCCGAGAATTCAAAACGGTTGAAAACTTACCATACGCATTAGATAGTAATCTAGGAACCATGAGCTTAAAACACAACTCTCGAAAACATACATGTCCTTTTGCCAGAAGAAACGGGAGTGAAAATGGAATGCTGGGAGGTATCAAAAATGTCGCTCCATGCTAAAGGCGTCAACGGGGTCAACACCCAAGGCCTGTGACTGAAGTGCGAGAACAGAATACAGCAGAGAGCCTTGTGAATTGATTATACATTTCATTATATACAAAGTACTATAGAACTGTTCGGAATTGTCCTGCAGCTGCTAAACCTGCCGCAACATCCTATTTATCTCCCTCTGCACAGGATCGTGCTCGCGGAGGAATCGGGCGGGGATGTTCTTCTCCAAAGCAGTCTTCCAGTCACCATTAGTGGCCTTTGCTGTTGCTAGGATACCATGAATGGCTACCAGAGTGAGAGTTTTGTTTCCCGCTCTCCAATGTAAGTACCGCTCAAGGGGCAGTCGTATACACTCAACGCCTGAAAAGAAAACATAAATTTAATATAAATAACCTTTGTAATAGGAGAGCTGTACAGCGATCAGGTTACGGAACATTCTCGCCCTGTGGCGCTTTAGGCCTCAAAATAGAGCCCTTGCAAACAATCGTGTAACGACCGAAACCAGCGCATAAGGAGAACTGACAGAGAAGAGATACCGGGATTGCCAGTTTGCCGGCCAGTCATGTCTAACAACACGTTTAGATAATGTGGGATTCAGACCCAGAAGCTGTAGTGATTGAACGTGCGGTCCGACACTCTGCCATTGGCCCACGGGCTTGTTGTCCTATCGGTGGCGAACGGGTCACCAGCTCAAGTTGGCAACTGTCATGATAATTGCCCACGGCGGAAACAAGACAAGCGACGAATCGACTGAAGCCTGGGCCTCAAATGAGAATTCAGTCTATCGACGTGTTGATCCGACGCCAGCAAACGGCGCTTTGCGCCGTCCCCCCCCCTCAGATGCGATGCACTAGTCTTTGATTGGCCAACACTCTCTATATCTGGTACTGTTTATTTTCTGTTGATATCTCTGACGATTTACTGCTGTACGAGTTTGAAGGCTGAGAAAAAATAAGTGGTTACAGTGTGCGACTAATCTCCTTCTATATTGCGCATATATACATCTCTATTCATGGAATATGAACTATTGTGGGACGGTCATTAGCCCATCAGGTTATGCGACATGTCCACTCTCACTGCAAGTTAGGAATAAGGGTACGCTAGCAAAGTCGTCAGATAGTCGACCATCCTGTGAGATTTAGGTAGCCGCGTTACGGTAAACGTTTTTCAAAGTCGCCATTTCACAAACATTATAAGTAACTGTTATGCTTATATGCGAAAACAGTTAGTCACGTCTCACCTACTTTTATTTGTGGGGGAGTACGGCGTTTAAAACGACATAAATAATGTAAAAAATAGGGCGTCATTTCCTAATCGGCAAAACCTAACTTTGAAGGTCAGCAGAATGTAGGGAAACGTAACAATACAGGAATTTTACGATGGGCGGAGCGGTTGACGAGAACCCATGAACATTAAACACGACAGGAGTAGGGAGCCTTTAGATCGAAATGTCAGCACAATAAAACTAAGTTCAGCACTCGATGTAGTTAATTACCAGATAAATTAGATGGCCCGCTGAGAATTTATTGAAAGCAAATGTGTGCTCGGTAAACGGGCCTCTGAATACCTCTCTTGAAGACAATATTTGAGTTTCAATTATAAACGGTGAAGGATGATGAGCAAGTAAGCAAATCCCACGGGTGCGGTAATCTCGGCTTACTAGTTACGATGACTAGTTACGGTTACGGCATTAGTTAGTTCTTACAAAAGCTCTTGCCTTCAGATGGGC